TTAGATTATTAATGTTTTTCTTTTAATAATTCTTTATATTTTTACTCGTTCTCTCTTATTATTATTTATATTTATTTGTATTATTATTTACATCATTTATAATTTATTGGATTATGATTAGTAGCCCTCCAGAGATGTAAATTAAGTTAATTAATTCTGTTCAACCCATATGTATTTTAATTAGAAATTCATTATTAATTTATTCGCTTTTTATATTCATTTCTTTCTTATAAATAAGACCTGTCTGTTCTGTAATTTTAACTCCAGATCTGAATACTTTTAAACAATAAAAAAATAATCATAAGTTATAAAATAAAATTAAAACTTATTTATATCGCATTTTATTCTTGTTTACAAATATTAACAAAATAATCTTACAATATGTAAGAATTATTTTAAGAAAAATATCAATATTAATTCAAAAAGATTAGATTATTATATATAAAGAATTATATTATTATAATAGAATTTTATTGAATAATAATTATTATTAAAGAAATATTATTTTATAAAGTAATATTAAAGTTTTATAAAATAAGAAACTAGAAGATTATATAATTAATTATACAAACTTAATAAATTAAATTTCAGAGATTCTTAATAATATATTTATAATAACTATTTAAAAGTTTATTTGTAAGTTTTGAAAATATATGATAAAGAATTGAAGAATCAAGTTGCTAAATAAGTATTAATAAATATTACTAAATTCCAGAAAATATTAAATGATCAATAAAAATAAATAAAATAGAAGAAATAAATAAAATAAATAATATATAGAAGATGAAATAAATAATTAAAACAAGTTATTAAATTGATATTAAATATATCATTAATGCATAACTCAATTTCTCATAATCCAGTGATCTCATTTAAATAAAGATATTACCATAAGATTTATGAAGTTGGAATAAATTTAATGGAGTATTTTCATTTAAATTGGATCATTAAATTTGAGATATCGATATTGGATTTCAAAAGTGGCTGATTCGTTTTTAGGATTTCCGGTAATATATTGTAGGGGTGTGTAATTATTATACATCCTAAGAAATAAATCAAGATTACATGACTATAAAATGCTATTAATATTATTGGCTACATTATATATTATGCTAATTTACATTGCATGTAGAAAATTGAAACAATTGGACCATATAATTCATAATTCACACAGAAAGAAAAAGAAACAAAATGTCTGACTCAACTTGCGAAGGCGATTTTTGTGAACTTCCAAAAAAGGGTTTTGCCTCTAACGATGATAATAGTATTAGTGATAGCCACGGATCTTCACGACCAACACCTTATGGGGGTGTCATCCAAAGAAACCCTCAATCAATAGATTCAGAAACAACAAAGGACAACATTCCACTAGCTTTACTTAACGATCCTCTTTTATCACAAATAACTTTACAGGATGGGAATGGCAACAATGTGCCAGTTTCGACCATTGCTGATAATAATAAAATCATTGGTTTTTATTTTGGTGCTACTTGGTGTCCACCATGTCAACAATTTGCTCCCGTAACTATTTTATTTCAACAATTTAATGCATATATACAGCATATGTTAGAATTTTATTATTTAGCGTTTCAAATTTTATATATTTCAGATTTTATGTTCATTCCTAGATTCCCATGCATCAGATTTTTCCGTCATCTTTGTATCATTAGATCGGTCAGAAGCAGCATTCGAGGATTATGTATGCACTAAACCTTGGCTTAATATACCATACAAACAGGAATCATTACGTCAATCTCTTATGTCAAGATGGTCCGTTTCCGTGATCCCTACTTTAGTAATTTATAACCCTGCTGCTGCCACGAACAAAGTTGTTACCACATGGGGTAAAAGTGCTGTGCTAAAAAATCCCGATCATTGTATAGAGGAATGGAGACAAGGAAATCATGGCATTAGTTGGTTACAGTTATTGAAAGGAAGCGCCACCAGTTTAACTTTTTGGATTGTTGTCATATTTTTTGTCGTTTATTTTTTCAATAATCTATTCGACTATTAATATGTTTATTTTAATCTAGATACTTATAAATTATTTAGTAAATTTCGTTTGAAAACAAAATCAAATTTAGTAGTTTATATATTAATATTGCTTATCGTTTCTGGCCTGCATCGACTTTCGCGGCTTTGTGAATAAAGGATCGAAGTGAATTTATGAAATTCTGGCAGCTTCTTTCAATTTCGCGCATCAGCTTCACATGTCTTTGAACTCTTCAAGTGGCTGATAATTGTCCCGATGGACTTTTGTAATAGAAGAATCTTGTTAAATAAATATTAATTGGATAATGAAAAAATGATAAAATTTACTTGTAGTTCTGTTCTGGCGAATTTTTTTCGCCATCCTTGAGCTATTTTGTGTATGCGATCTGCCATTAGAATAGAAATTAATAATTGAGGCCATTTATTTGTGTGCCATGACCGCCAATCTCCCTTTCTATACCATCATAGTCAACTTTTGAGAAGCTTCTTTTCCTGAGAGTGCATCTTGTATGTAATGGTGACTACATTTAAATAGAATAACTTTATAGAAAATTGTTGTAGAAGAATAGAAAATTGTTGCACAAAGAAGTTACATCACTTGATTTTCCTTATCGTCATTGCTCTTATTGGTGTCACAGATTTCTTTTGGTAGAATCTATAAAAATAGAAAGCCGTATTTATATTGAAAATTTGAGCACGGAAAAATTGTTTATTATTATTATTGGTTGACAGAATAAGTAATTTACCACTGTTTCTTTTTCTTTGATAATGGGTTGAATCAAGCTGATCACTCGGGAATTTTGTGCGTTAGAAACAGAATTCAAGTCTCGCTCGGACAGTTTACTCGACTATGAATTATAATAAATAAAATTTACGATTTGTATAAGATTAAAGCAAAGCAGCACATACCTCTGGTATCCCATTGGTAAGTTCGCGAGTTTTGATGGATTCAATCTCAGAAGTTTTTTGACTTGAAGATTTTCGAGTTATGATCGATTTACTGATATCAATTTCCTTGAAAGATGTTTTAACCTCGATTTCTTTCAAGGTGTCTTGACTGAAATATTTTGATTTTATCTCTAAATAAAGCAATTATCGCATTAGAGACATTCCAAGGCATGAACTTGAAGATACACGCTACGATTCAAATTAATGACCAGTATTATTTTCTTTTCCTGCAAAGAGTCTTGACGTGATTTCCTTGTTAATAGGCATTGAACTCTTGCTTGATTCAACATTTTTCATGAAGTGAAATCGTATATCCTGAGAATTAAGAGTCTATAAGATAACATTACTTATCATCAATAAGGTGCATGGTAACTTCATAGAGAATACTTTTGGCGCAAGAATGGCTCGCTTCGGATTTTCCATACTCAGAGGCTGCATGGTGATTGGATTCAGATAACCTTTTACAATTTTTCGCGCAATATTAGGATCGATTTCTCTAATAATAAGTGATCAGTTTTCGTAGAAATTATATTATTTCTATTTATCTGAAAATTCAAAAAACTAAAGAAGCATTTACAATCCAATAAAGTCCATATTTTTTATATCCATATTTTCAGGAACAGGCGTAAACGTGACTAGCTGACCCGTCTCCATATCAAATACGCGTTGATGCAAGAATGTCATTTCAGCGCGAGCAAAATTTTCTTCGTAATCCAGCGGAACATAATATTTTGATACTAATCGTAAATTTTTGATCGCCTATAAATTTCTGTTGGTCAAAAAATGCGTGTTGTTTCTTATTAATTTCGAATCGAATATAAAAACCTTTTCGGCAGTATGATATTTCTTAATGTATTGGTACGCCGTCTTGATGCCTATTCCGTGTATTGAAGGGAGATAATCACAGCCGGACAGAATAGCCATCTGTCGAAAATGTCGATTCGACAACTGGGCCATGCTGTATTCAAATGACGCGGCAAAATTATCACGACTTATTTCCTCACCGTTACCATATTGATCCATTTTAAATATAACCTTATTTTTCATCAAGTATCTAGAAAATTATATTCTAGTAGATATTATAGCAACAGAATTTAAATTACATTACATTCTTGCAGCCGAACACCAACAAGTCTGAATCTTCCGTGATGACGGCCGATATATATCCTTTTCGCTCGAGATATGCTAATTGTGCATCTGCTTCATAAGGCGCAACTAGATATTGGACATTTTCTGCCCGTAAGGCCTATAATTGACAACTTTAGATGTTAAATGAAAATAATTTGCTTGTCGTTTCTTTGTAATTTTGTTTGAAAAATATATTGTGATATACAAAGAAGATGATTAAAGCAAAGAAGTGAAATATCTTTGCATTACCTGAATCACCTTGAACACCATCTCTGGCGTGACTTCAATCGCTTTTGCAAAATGATCGCGTGCTTTGTCCTTTAGTCCTTTCTCGAAACACGCAAAACCCTTTCGACGGTGTTCTTCTCGTTGTCTGCACGATCGATTTCACTATGTTAATATAAAAGGTGACGCGACTATATATCTTTATCAGCGATCAACATTCTGAAATACGTACGCCCGACGTTCCGCTTCAGTTCTCGCTTTTGCAGGTAAATGTCCGCCATCAAAGACAATGAACGGGGTAACTTTATAAAATTTGAGCATACGGACACGATGCATGAAAAATTCGATATATCTAATTTCCATATGAAATCAAGGAACAAAGTAGCCTTCATCAGTTTAATCATAAATATTCATTTTTTGAAATGGAAAGGTATAAGAGGAATGGAATAATGACACACTTTGTGGTTGGCTCATTTAACGCTAATTCCACCGCACAGGCATGTGCTCCTTTATGTAACCAGCAATGCCCATCAACACCCACAGTGAACCACGCATATTTATCCACAGAGATATTTGTTTTAATGGGTTTGAGAATTTGAAGAAGGCCTTGTATACCCATTTTCAAGATTTTTTGTGGTGTTAACTAGAAATCGATACACCAGAGCTGTAATCAAAAAGACAACCCTTCTTCCAGCGATTAGGGGTTAACGACAAAAAGTCAACTCGAGTCTTGGGGCGATTTATATTTTTTGAAAGAATGCAGCGTCACGCGTCTTATATTACGTCACGCGTTTTTGATTAACAAGACATCATATTTAAATCAGTAAAGTAAAATAGAATATTATTACATCTGCTTTATCTGTTCTGTTAAAATTATTAAATTAATAGAAATCAGGAAGTTTCTCAGGAATAACGGGAGGCGTGTAAGTAGTAGTAACAGTGACTCGATTCCCAACAACACCCTGATACTTTGTTCGATAGAAAAAGGTAGCTGTGGCGGGATAAGAAGTGGTGGTTGGTGTAGGCAATGACACAACGGTCTTTGTTTGCGTTGGGACTGGTGCCGGCATAAATAGTAATCCCCAAACCCAAGATAAAGAAATCACCAGTATCCAGTAGAGGATAATATAAGTAATTGTGGTGCAATTGAGAATTGATGTGGCTGACTTTGATTGATTGGGTGTTAGTGTATTTTGTGTTGCGCCTGTCTATAATGATAATTGTTTGTATTGTATGATATCGTTATCCTTATGATCAATAAAAAATAATTAATTCTATTGATCAGAGAAAAATTATATACTTTTTCTACGACACCGGTGATTGTTCCCGTGCGCCAGTGATTTGGATATATATAATTTCTAGTCCAAGCTTCACGACCTGTTAATCGTTGACCGAGCTCCTTTTTGTTAAAAAAAAGAGTACATTTGATGAATAAATTCTCAAGATTAATCTAATCTTATATAATCCCCTTTTTTGTCTCTTACCAAGGGAGAGCCTCGAGGTCTAATGAAATAGGCGTATATCAAATATCCCATACTAAATAACACGAACAGAAAACAGCCGCCTTCAAAAACGAGGTTAGTCATCGGCTCTTGATCAAAATAATAATAACGATGCTGAGTAAGAGGATGATAATGATTATTATGGAAATATGCGCGCTCGTCAAACATTGTGTATTAATTAATTAAAAGGTAAGAATTCAAATCGCAAGAAATGAAATTGTTTATATAATGATTTTGACTGACGTCACTATTAATGTTTGATTGGTTGATTGCATATTGAGTTTTAATTGGCTGGTGACGCGTCTTTATAGTTAACACACAAAGTTCAATTGAACGGATACTTTATTATAGGGTCAACTGTATTTGAACGCTACGAACACAAGATCTTTATAATACTATTACACATCTAAAAGTTCATTCTTTTGATATTGAACGAAAGACGAAAATATTAGGATATAGAGAATAAGAAAAGAAGTATTAAGTCAGAGATTTGCGATAATATCATCATCAATACAAGAAGTGATTATGTAGAAGGAGGGAATGATATAAATAAGAAATGTACAATGATATCTAGTAATATAGAGTAATCAGCAAGGTGAAAGTCCCGGAAATATTTGTAACAAAAAAGGATGGATAAAATTCAGAAGCGAAGAATCAAATATTCAAATAAGCGCCTTTAATAGAAGTTCATTCGGCTCTTCGTTCGCTCGATATTGTTGCAATGCCCGCATATGAATTGGTCGCCTCTTTGCGAACTGCAGATACTTAAACTCCCACCAATTTGCAACTTTCTCAATCTCCGTTAATTCTCGAGGCTTGTCGTATTTTCTCATGTACTTTTCAAGTTCAGTTTCTTCGACCTCCTCGGTAGGTTCTACATTATCTTCGCCGATTATGCTCACGTATTTAATTTGATCGTCTGAGACCTGCTCGTATTCGCAGGCTTGTATGGTTTCATTGAAGCGACATTTGAATTTTTGGTAATCCCGGGAACTTTCCTAATTTAATTGATCAATTGTGTGAATTGTTTGTATAAATAGAAAGACTGATGGATTATTACGTACTCGGCCATATTTTTTCATGATTCCCGTTGGTGGGAGATCTTCTTCATTCGCGCTAAATTTTACACGTCTCATACGCCTTATGCGTCTTTGACGCTATAATATCAACAAAAGATCGTCTAAATATTTCGTTCTTGTTTCTAATAATATACAAATCTCCAAAAAGTACCTGCGCCTCATCGGTTGCATCTAACCATCTAGTAAATATTTTATGTCTCATGGAAATCGCTTTCCTTTCACAATAACTATTGTATATCTCTTCGATCTTTCTATTCTTCATGATGTGAGCTTTCCATTTTTCCACGTATTTCTTCTGAAGGTATCTTTGACGCGTCGAATCGGGAAAGGCACCCGGGACGACGGGCATTCTTAGACCCCCTTGTTGTAGTTGTTGAAAATCGTCATTTAAAAAATCATTATTCCACTAAGATTTCGTTGAGGTTGTTAGGTAATAATACAATACCAAATTAAAGAAAATACAAAAGCAAGAATAACTGCGGGTTTTATTGAACCAATTGATAGATTTGGAAACACTATGGTTGTAGAGTATTACCACCAAGCAAGCATACCTCGGAAAAATAGTTTTTTATTCCATAATACAAGTTTTTGAGCTTGCTAAGAGTGTTCTCTCTCAATGTTTGTGCATTTATAGGCGAATATCTTAATAAACTTTGGGTTTGAGTTTCGCGGATTGGTGGCATTTTATAGCAAGTGGTTTGTTTTTCTGTCCAAATATTTTAATCCTGTCTCTAAATTTTGGTTAATCCAGGATTCGGTTTATCTGATAAGATTATCTTTTTATAACTCAATTCTAATCTTATCTTTTTCGGGCTTATCCGTTATCTTTTATGTTGTGTATTATCGAATGATCACTGATAATGCACTGATGAAATATAACAACAAAAGATGCACATGCATTCATTTGTTCATATTACAAAAAATATCTGAATTCTTCAGTCACTGCTACGATACTTTATTATTATTATTATTATTAGATTTCACAATGTCCACTTTCCATGCACCGATAATACGTCCTACAAATAGACAGCCGGTGCATTCAGCTTCTTACACGATACTCCCTGAACCTTTTCAATCGGTGGTAGTGATTAGCTCCACGCAGCACCAGCAAGCTCAGCAACGAGTTATTCAAATAGACCAAGAAGTTCGAAGTGCAGGAGGTAAGAAAAAAAATAAAGTTTTTTCAATTTTTCCGCTTCTCATTAAGAATTAATGTAAATCGAAATTGAATAAACTTCTAAATGAACGTTTCCAAAGTCAAAATTTGCTTGATTGAGGATGGTCTATCAGAAGAAGAAAAACAACGTTATCCCACAATAATGGGCGAGTTGACACCATACTATGCGAAAATAAATCGACTTGTACCCTTTTACTATTTGATCTCAAAAAATAGCGATAAAGCCGCGCGTGACATGTTGACGATGGTAATAAGATATTTATTCACATTATTATTATTATAATTATTATCTTTTTTTTTGATGACCGTCAAAGCTCCTTGTTCTTGTTTCTTTCAAATCTCTCCATTGTATTATTATTGTTATTCCAATTTTCCATTCACCACCCGAAAACCCAACTGTGTTTGTTATATGTTACAACGACTACTATACTATATAATTATAGAAATATATTATCCAACAACAATACATAGCACTGCCTGAAGAGAAATACATCATAACCTTAGATGCGCTTCAAGAACATAAAGATCTCCTGGTAGAGTTATCAAAATATGAGAATCAAATTCAAAAACTGACAACAACAGGCGGATACGCTGCTTGCCAAATTTTATTCCATTCTAAGAAAACAAAAAAATCTGAAAAAGACGTGGGATCACAACAACCACCACCACAACAGCAGCAGCAACAACAATCATCCCCACAATTATCACACCCATCACATCAACAACGACGTCCATTGACCCTGAATGGCAGTGGTAATCCTTTCACATCAGCACCATCTTCAAATCATCTCGATACACGATTACATAAACCTTCAACACCGCCATTACCTCAATTATCCGCTGGTGTATCAACACTGGCTAAATTTCTCTCGCTAGTGGAGAATTATGATCCTCTAGACGATACATCAAATCGAGCGGGGGATTTACTTATGTCCACAAAGAAAAACATTAATAATTATCATCAGCATAATCCTAATTATAATAATCCTAATAAGAATAACATTAATCATGAAATTAATGGATTGCACCACTTACATCATAATGATTCAACAAACCATTACAAAAAGAACACTATAAATGGTAATAGTACAAGACGAAGGGAAGACTCTGTTACTAATCATGTAAATATTCATCATGGTGGAAATATATTAACTCGTCTGGAATCAATTACATCATCGTCGACTAACAACTCTACTGAGATCTCGAGGCTTAGACCTGACTTATTGATTGCACCCTACCACCACCATTCTGAAACTACGAGAACGCATGGAGATCCTGGAAGGCGATAAATAATGTATTATCAAAATTTTCTTACTGTTGCTGTTCCTATTTATATTTATAGTTCCATTTAAAAAATTTTATTTTACGCTAAATAAAAATCATAAACGGTAGCTATTTTAATTTTATCATCGATCAATGTTAATATCAGTATGTTTTGTTTAATAATCGGATCATTGTATTTCAATGTAGCTTCTGGAATCCGATGTCACCTGCATTATAATAGCCAGAATATCATCAATTAAATAAAATTTATTTTATTGTCGAAAAATGTATGTTACGAAGGAATAAAGATTATCTCAAGTGGGTCATCTTAATAATAATATCGATATCCATATGAGCACAAGATTGTCGATTATAATGAACGTCACCAATTTGATCGATTCATGTGATGAAGATGATCTGTACTATATAAGCACGTGCAGTGTGATTTAATTTCTCGAGGTTTACGTAATATAAAATGATCGATATAAAATTGCTGATTGGTTTAAAATAGGCTGATCGTGTCCAAAAACAAAAATTTTATTTAATAAAATAACTGTTAAAAAGAAATAATTAAAAAACTTATTTTCATGATTTAGTTTGTTAAAATTATCAAATTTGAAAAATCAATATTTAAATCTATCTTGAAATACTAATTAAAATTGTTAGAATAATAATTTTACATACAATCTCTTATAAATCATAAAAATCATTAATAGTAAATTCTAAAAATTTAAGAGAATTAATTATATAATAAATTATACTTAATTATTTTTCAAATTCAAAGAAATAAAATAGATTAATTTGAATTATATAAATCCAGATTATATTAATCTGAATTTATCTAATAATTAGTAAGTTATATAATTATAATGCTTATCATAAATAATGAGAATTGATTTTTTGATCACAAATTTCAAGAGTTTGATTTGTTTAGATTATGACTTCACAAATACATAGATATAATATTAATACATAAAAAATATATGTACTAATAGTTTATTTTTTTTTTTACTATTTTAAATAACTTCATTTAGATATCCTGATATCCTATTTACTAAATTAAGATATAGATCTATAAAGATATCCTCTTATTCTTTTCTAATCAAATCATACTAACATTCAATACTAATTATTTTTTCTTTTCTAATTATTTTATTAATTCATTTCTCAATTCTCTTTTATAATAGCCTATAGATTCTTTATTTAATTCATATTGAAGTTATAGAAGAACTAATCAAGAATTTTTGAAATTTAATAATAAAAAAGATCAGATATTTCTTTAGCTATATGCTTTGGATCATTATCTTATTGAAAGACTTAATATTTTAACATAATTCTAGATATATTTTTAAAAAGATATTTAATTAAAATCTTATAGTAAAATAAATTATTCATATTCTGAATAAATATATAAAAATTAATTGTTTTACATGCTAAGAATACATCTCACATATGAACTTTTACAGGATATTTTGAAACTCTTTTTTGTGAAATATCTATTTCAGCTTTGTAAAATGCTGATATGATATTTTAAAATATCTAAAAAATTGATTTATCTGAAAATATAACAGTTTTTCAGTTTTGTCTAACATGAATAATAACCTATTCTACTTGATATTCACATTATTTACTGTAAGTAAAGGTATAGTTTTGACATAATCTGAGTAATATCCAAGCTTATTAAGCTTATAATTTACTATTTGTATTGATATTTTTATTCTGAAACTTAATTTGATAATAATTTTTTCATATATAAAATATTGATTATTTTGAATTATTCTTCTTAATATATATTTATTTTGAAAAGTTAAAATTCTTGAATATTCAGAATGGAAAATAAATTTAATATTAATTAATAAATTATATATAAAAAATTCATATTATAATAATATTAAAGCTATTATATAAATATTTAAATTTTTTAACTTTAAATTTTACTAGTTATTATATCTTTATAATTAAATCAATAAATTTTATAATTGAATTATAATAATATTTATAAGTAATAAGAAAATAATATTAATTATTAATCTGATATTTAAATTAATAAGTAATCTGATTTATTTAAAAAATAATTTTTTTTATATGTTATATTATAACTTTAACTATTTAAATCTTATTAAATATAATATCAAAAATAATATTAAATTAAATTCTAAATAATTAGTTATAAATAAATAAGAATTTTACTTAATAATAGCTAAAAAATACTTTTCTATTCAAATAATATTATATAATTAATATAAAGATAAGTTTTTTTAAATTTTTATAAATTTTTTTGTTTTTATATTTAAGATTTATCTTATTATTTATTTATCTAGCTAATATAATTACAAAATAATTTATTAAAAATTTAAATAATTAATAACTTAGAGATTAAATCTTTTATTAATTTTAATTTGTTAAATAATCTTAGAATTAAAGAAGAATTTAATTAATAAAAAATTACTTTATTAAATATAAAAAAGTTTTAAGTTATTAGATTATATTTTTAATTATTATAAAAATTATTATATTTTATTTTTAAATATATTAGTTTAATAAATAAATTGATAAATAAAAGTACTTTATTTTTGTGATTAATATATTTTTATTAATATATTACAGATATTTGATCAGATTATAAATAGAATAATTATCTTATAAAAATAAATATATTATTAAAAAACTATTTTAAAAAGAATATATTATTATATTATTAAAAAAATAATACTAAATTTATATTTAAATTTTGAGAAGATTATTATATTAATACTTATAAATATTAAAGAAATAAAAAAATAAGTTTAAAATAGTTTTTTTATAAAATATAAATAAACTTTTCTTTATTAAAAATTTTAAAAAGAAAAAGATAAATCTTTAATAAAATCAAATTTATAATGAAGAAAAGTATTATATAAAGAAAATCTTGTGCAAGACAAGTACTTTTTATTTGTATTTTTTCTGTATATATAATAATTTATTAGCTTTTTATTTTGAAAAATTGATCAAAATACTTGAAATATAATTCAATTTACTAGTATAAATATTAATATTCAATATATTACTATTAAATTTAAAGATAATATTGATATTATAAATAAAAAAATAAATTAAAGTTTAAAATCTTAAAATTAGAAGTTACTAACTTAACTAATAATAAATAATTATAACAAATTAAAATAAAATCAGATTAAAATAAATTCTGATTCTTTTTTATATATATAATATATAATTTATATATATAATTATATATTATATAAATATATATATGAATATATAATTATATATAAATCATATGTTATTAATAACAATATATTATAATAAAAAAATAATTAAAATATAATTTAAATAAGGATAATAATTAGTATAAAAAACAAAATTATATAGAAAATTATAGTTTTAATAATTTTAATTAATATTTCAAAACTAATTTATATATTAATTTTTGAATAATATTTATTTTTTATATTTTATATTAGATTTATTTTATCAAATTAATTAAAAAATTTACATACTCATAATAAATTATATTTTAACTAATTCTTATAATAATATATTTGAAAATAATAATATATTATTAAAATAATTAATATATAATTATAATAATAATATATAATTATAATAATAATATATTATTATATCTTAAAATTTTTATTATTTGCTCAAAAAGATAATAAAATTATTTTTATTTAAAGAGAATTCATCTCTATCTCTTTTAAAAAAATTTATCTATTTTCATTATTTATCTTTAATTATCTATTTTTCACTATTTATTTTTTATTATTTGCTTCTTATTATCTTATTATTTATTTAAATTTTCTTAAGTTTTTTATTATAAAAGTCTTTATTTTGCTATTGATCTTAACTCTTATAGTTTTATTATTACTATACATAAATAATCTTATTTCTTATTTTTTTATTAATATTATAATTGAAAGTAATTATAATTTCATCTTCTAACTTAAAAACTAATTTTCTTTAATAAATACTTTCTTAAATTACAAGCTTATTTTGATAAAGTTTATTATTTTTTATAATTTTCCTTCTTATTTTTTTAACTTACATTATATAAGTTTCATAAATAATAACTTAGCTATTTATGATTAATATATTTTGATTTTTTTTATTTTTATAATTATATTATATATTATTTTTATAATTATTTTGCTTAGTATATTTATTTTATTTGATATATTTTTTTCTCTTTTGATCAAAATATATATATTAAAACTTACAATATTATTATTTTTCTCTTTTAATATAGTATTAACTTATATTATTTTACTTGAAATCTTATTGGCTTATATTATTTTATCCAGAATATTATAGACTTCTTGTATTTTAAATTCAAAAAATACTTTATATAAAGACTTTTTATAACTTTTATAAGATACTTTATTATATATAATTATAAATAAGAGAAAAATATCAATCTATTAATAGCTCTAAATCTTAAAAATTTTATTTCAAAGTATTTTTTATTAAATAATAACCAAGTATTTGATTAAATTTCTTGATTTTTTCTGATTTTATAAATAATAAATATAATTATAAATAAGTTTCACATTAAAGATATTATAAATATATTTTAAGATACTAATTATGAATTCTAAACTATTATTTATTTAAAATATAAAAAGAGATTAAAACTTATAAAAACTTATATTATTATATTATAAATTATATTATTTTCTTTATTTAAAATAGTCTAAATATAATATAAAAATATATCAATTATTATTAAAATATAACTATATCTGTTATTATTAAAGATAAGTAACTTAATTATTTATTTAATTTATAATAATTATAATTTTTAGTAATTATAATATTATTATAATATAGATTTTTATATATATTAATATTAGTTATTTTATACTCACATTTTATTGAATAATTATTTAGTTATATTTTATTAGACAATAATTAAGATAGTATTATTGGTAGATATTTTTAGATAGTTTTACAAG